TACACACTTTTTGGCTAACACAGTTCTGTGCGGTTATGTTCAGTCATTGTTCTTATGTTGATCATGAATACATTTACTTTGTAATTAATTATGGGACGTATTTCTTCTTTCATAGCAATTTTCCTTCATACTTTCTTGCCGTGAAATAGGTCTTAAATTCTATTCAAAGTGGTCTTAAAAAGGTCTTAAATAAAATTTGAGTTGGCGAAACCTGCAGGAACCCTGTCTAATGTACTCTGTCCTCTTTCTCTTTGCAGGTGGCAATAATAGAGGAGTTGGTGGTCGGATATGAAACCACATTAAAGAGCTTTCGAATGTTCAACCAGAACGGTGAGGAATAAATCAGGATGATAATGAATGAATGTCTTTTTAAACTTCTGTGTGCAGTGTAGCGTAAAAGACAGTTTTTAACTTTTGTTTTAAAGAGGACGAATTATGTTAATGTTGTGCTTTTTCTGTTATTCATGTTTTATTTACGTGCTTTAATGTTCAAAAAGGTCTCTATTGTTCTCATACTGCCTGTGGTGCAGCACCTCTTTTCACCCTCTGTCTGAAACCAGAGCCCAGTCTGCTCTGATTTGTTAGCTGGCCGGCTCGGTTATGATTGGTCAACCGTTTCCTGAATGAATTGCCTCGTATGTTAATGTCCAAGCAATGTCAATGTCGTTCAGGCAATTGAATCAAAAAATGACTCGCCCAAGAGCATAAAGCCATGCTTGCAGAGCTGAGCCATCAATGCCTCCATGTGCAGGGGTGCCCCATCTTCTGACACAGGCACGGATAATCACATCTAAATCAGCCAGAACAACATCCATAGCACTCCTAATTTGAGATGCCAAGAACAAGCTTTCTCTCAACTGAATAACATCAACAAGGATTCAATATCAATATATTTTTTCAGAAGTTTTCTTTTTTATCAAACAGTAAATGGCGAGGCTGATGTCTAACTATTTGAATTGCATATTGCAAATGTACTTGTCCTTCCTGCATAGGTAGTTATTATGAATCCATAGCATTGAATGGTACATTCTACCGCTTATAATGTGAAATAAATAATTACAAGAGGACATTTCAGAACTTAAATCCATTAAAGGAATGTTGCAGAAAAAATGTAACATAAATGGGGTTGACTTCTACAAAATCTTAGGGATTACAACCAAGTTTACTCATTTGCATTCATAATTTACAAGGTTAACTGTAGTTTTTTTCTTAGTAATCGTAAAGACGTGAACTTACGCAATCTCTCCTGTTCTGTGGCAGATGACGGTAAAGAGGAACCTCCGACCACGTTGCTCTGGGTACAGTACTTCCTGGCTCAGCATTACGACATGATTGACCAACAGACTCTGGCTCTAGATTACATCAACGCCGCCATTGACAGCACTCCCACGCTCATCGAGCTCTTCCTCATCAAAGCCAAGATTTACAAGGTAACGCACGGCACACATTAGTCCAGTGGTTCTCAAAGTGGGGGGCGCAGAGGCATGCCAGGGGGGCGCGAGAGACCAGGAGGAAAAATGGTTATTAAAAAAATGATAAATTCAAAAATAATATGATACAGTACTATTACGAGAGAGAGCGCACCGGTACCTGAGATCGTTGTTGTTAGCTTCTGGTGCTAGCGAGCTACGCTAACGGATATAAGGAGTTTTTTCAACAACAAGGTGGAGGAGAGCCCTCTCCTGTCAGACTGAGAGACTCAGTGAGCTAAAGGACTCTCTGTGTTACCTCAGTGGGTCTCAAATGTTTTGGTCACCATTAATGTAAACAATTATTTCCGAGGCACACATTTATATGATCATTATAGTTATAAAAAAATAATAGAATAAATGAAAAACAGGTATGAAATACTATATGACAGTAAAACAAGAATAAAGTTTAAAAGGGGAGTGATTTGTAAAATATCCATAAAGAAAAAGTAAATCTGTTTACAGTTCTGTTTCATATGGGTGCTGAGAGATGTATCCATAGATCTCTTCATTTTGCTCTCAAAGTGCACCAGATTGATGCTTTTAACTTCAATATTTAAAAATAAATCTTCCCGGGGGAGCTTGCCCCCGGACCCCCTATGTGAGGTCCACACACCACCTATAAAAACAGAACTTTACACCTATATGCCGTGAGCTGATTATCGAGCCTTCATTGTAACTGTCACGGGTACACTGTGTATATGCGTCAGATTCCTGCAACGGGTCGGGTACCCGAAAAAAAGTGATTCGCGGGTGGTAGCGCTTTTTTCCGGGTTCGGTTCTGGGTAAAACAAAGATGATGCGGGTCGGGTCGCGGGTTTTGCATAATAAATATATTAAAAATAATAATAATTTAGTTTAATGTTTAAATCCTCAGACCTCTCCCCCGCATAATCATAACCTCTGCAGCGCATCAATCTGCTGCTGAGCGCGCCACATTTGAAATGGCTGAGGTGAAGCTCTCTAGCGGAGAATACAGCATTTTCAATAACACTTCCTCAAGAGCGAAATCCAACATCTGGGAGGCTTATGGTGTCATCCTAGATGGAGAAAATAACCAACATCCCACGCTTTTTGAGACAAATATGCAACTGCGTGTGTTAATAATTGCACGTTTTCACTGCTCATATATATGCGGGTTCGGGTCGGGTTGCGGATCTTGTGCAGACGGGTTAGTTCGCGGAACTAATTGGCAATATGTGCGGGGGGCGGGTTCGGTATTGCACGTCGCGGGTGGGGGCGGGAGCGGGTCTTGAAAATCAGACCCGTGCAGGACTCTGATATGCGTGGGGATTGTTACAGTAGAAAATTCCACTTTAGCGATCGGTACATTTTCAAGCTACCCCACAGCATCCCCAAAATAAATCTCTGGCGCCGCCACTGAGCCTGACTATTTGTGTTGGGGGGTCCCAACTTTTTTTTTTTTTCAAAGGGGGGGCCTGCATTAGTCAAAGTGTTTACCAAGTAGCTGTGTTAGTGTCATGACTGCCGTATTGACCTTTATCCTCCCACAGCATGCTGGCAACATCAAAGAAGCTGCTCAGTGGATGGACGAGGCCCAGGCTCTGGACACCGCAGACAGATTCATCAACTCAAAGTGTGCCAAGTACATGCTGAAGGCCGGCATGGTGAAAGAGGCCGAGGAAATGTGCTCCAAGTTCACTAGGGTGAGAAAAGTACAATCTGAGCTGAGATAAGGTTCTGAAAATATCAGAAATTGTTTAAACACACGTACAACATAAAACATTTCCTATGAATTTACTTTGGAAACAAATTTTTCCAAAGCATGAATGTAGAATAAAACGAAATGCCCAGTCCCACAAGGTTAACGGAACTGCACAATATTTAATGTATCCATGAATTGCATCCGTTTCAAAAGAGTTCTCTCTTTTCCCGTGCTACAGCCTTACAACAAATGTCATTAAAGTTGTTGCAGTAGTTTTTCAGAAATCCTGCTGACAAGGCCAAACCTAACATCCCTGGGAGTATTAGGTTCACAGTGACACATTCTGACTTGCCAAATCCGTTTGCAGCAGTTGATCTCTCATGACAATAGAGCATGCCCCTGTTTTGTAATTGACTTTGCTCATGCATGTGTTTTTTGCTTCTTTGTCCAGGAGGGAGCGTCAGCAGTGGAGAACCTGAACGAGATGCAGTGCATGTGGTTCCAGACAGAGTGTGCACTCGCTTACAAGTCCATGAACAAGTTTGGGGATGCCCTCAAGAAATGCCACGAGATTGAAAGGGTGAGCCCTTATTATCAGGGAGTGTACTTGGTGTATTTTTCCTAGCAACGTTTGCACAAAACTCCTTGGCTACCCAAATTAAATGTCATGAACAGGTCAAATCCTTGTTTTCCTTTTCTTCCTTTTTTTTTTTTTTACATCTTCCTCCTTTTTTCTCCCATCTCTTATCAGCATTTTGTGGAGATCACGGACGACCAGTTTGATTTCCACACCTACTGCATGCGGAAGATGACGCTACGCTCTTACGTGGACCTACTGAAGCTGGAGGACGTGCTGCGAATGCATCCCTTCTACTACAAGGCTGCCACCAGCGCCATCCAGATCTACCTGAGCCTGCACGACAATCCGCTGACTGACGACAGCAAGGAGTTGCAGGCTGACACCGGTCAGTCCCACACTGGTTTTATTTACATTTTAAAACTTTCCTGGGCCAAAAAAAGAGAAAATGCTTTTATCCATACGTTAACGCCCCGTTCTCTTCTCTAGCTAACCTCTCGGACAAAGAACTGAAGAAGCTGAGGAACAAGCAGCGGAGAGCCCAGAAAAAGGCCCAGCTAGAGGAGGAGAAGAAGATTGCTGAAAAGGAGAAGCAGCTTAAGAACCAGAAGAAGAAGAAGGAGGATGATGATGAGGAGATCGGTGGGCCTAAGGAGGAGCTAATACCTGACAAGCTGGTCAAGGTTAGAAAGAAGAACATGAAAAATCCTAAAGTGTCAGTGACAAGGCAATTTGTCTTTGATGCTGCACACATAGCTACACATAGAATAGCAAGCAAGCAATCAGTGATTTGATTTGTGTTCCCTTGCTGTCACTTCCTGTTTATAGGTAGAAAATCCACTGGAGGAAGCTGTCAAGTTCCTGATGCCTCTCAAACACCTGGTAAAGGACAAAATCGACACGCACCTAATGGCCTTTGAGATCTACTTCAGGAAAGGTTGGCAAGAGCATTTCAATTCACTGACTTTTCTTTAGTTCTTACCATGTTGAAACTCACATCTTACCTTGCATTTGGTCTTTTTTCCCCCAGAAAAATACCTGCTGATGCTCCAATCCGTGAAGAGGGCGTTGGCTATTGACCCAGACCACCCATGGTTACATCAGTGTCTAGTACGCTTCTTTAAAGGAGGTACGAGAGGGTTCCACTTTGTTACATAGCGTTTTAGTCTTACCTACTACACAGTTTGTTTCTACATTCTTCACACCATTGCTCACATCTCTCCCCCTCCTCCATTCCTTCAGTGTCTGACAGCACGGAGCTGCCGGAGACGGTCAGGACGGTTCTGAAGCAGGAGATCACCCGGCTGTTCGGAGACAGCAACGCAACGAGCTTCAACCAGGCTTACCTCACCAAGCACTCAAACTCCATACCACACCGACTGGCTGGTAGGACACACACACACACACACACACACACACACACACACACACACACACACACACACACACACACACACACACACACACCTGTTATAAAAGGTTGGGTTCCCATTTAATACTCAATATATGAAGGCATATAAGAGCCACTGTAGTTAAACATTTCAAAAAATTACAGAGGCCTGTCTTATTCCAGTAAAGAAACACAGAATGGCCAGGTGGTACATTTACAAGAAAAAAACAAATACTTGTTTAATGGTCATACATTTGCAAGTTTTTTTCTGTCTGGAACCACGTCATTTAACTTTTGAGGTTTTGATCTACCTTTTTAACAAACTCCTCCCTCCTGCAGCTGCTAAGATGATGGTGTATCTGGACTCATCAACGGAAACAAAGGCGACAGAGCTGGCCACTGCACTAGATGAGTCGCTCAACAACAGAACCATACAGGTACTCATCAATGCTAATGTCAGTAATAATACAAAGGAAAAGGCCTAAAAAGCTGCACAATTGAATTATTTGTAAACACTTTTTTTGGAAAGTGTGTGTTTAAGATTGATATTAAATTATCCTAACAATAATGTGAATGAACACAGAGAATGTTTAATAAATATGACTGTTGTAATTAAATTACATTTCCTACGCGTCTCTAAGCGGTTCACTTATCACGTGCTGTAGCACGAGGACAAATATAGCCCTTATTTATTTATTTTTTATTCAAGCATGGAAACGTGTAACGGCACAAAATACATTTAGATAAAAACTACCCCTTTTTAAAAAGAATCTGAACTGTGCCTTTAAAAATACTTTTTAAAAAACAAAAATCTCTAAATGTAATTCTTCCTCTCTTTGCTCCCCTCTTCAGATCTGCACAGAGGTCCTGGATTGTCTCCGAGGCGGCCTGCTGGGCGACTGTAAGGAGCATGCCGAGTCGTACCGTGCAGCGTGTCACAAGCTTTACCCCTACACGTTAGCTTTCACACCTCCCGGGTATGAGGAGAACACAAAGATCGCCAACGGGGATGTCTCCACGGAGACGGAAGAGCTAGCCAACGAGATGTGAGCATGCTACAGATCAACAGCGGATGACAAAAGGAATTGGGCCGAGCACTGAGCCTTGTGGTACGCCTGGCAGCCATTTTGTTAAGAGCCAGTCACAGGAAGCGAAAATGGGTGTTACATTCTTTTGGCTCCGCTTAAATTGGGTCTGGCATGGCCTGGCTCTCCCACTTGGTGAAAATCAGGACTGTGTGTGTGTGTGTGTGTGTGTGTGTGTGTGTGTGTGTGTGTGTGTGTGTGTGTGTGTGTGTGTGTGTGTGTGTGTGTTGAGAGCATGTGTGTGTGTGTTGAGAGCATGTGTGCGGTTGTGTATATTTGTGGGAAAGAGGGGGGGGAAGAGAAAGATAACAGAATGGCCATTTTACTTCTTTTTTTTTTTTTTTTTTTTTTTAAATAAAGCTGACAACCAAGCTGAGTAGGAAAATAAACTTTAGTTATTGGCAAACTGTCTGGAGAAACCGCGATGGACTGACATGGACTGCCGGTTTTCCTCGATGATCAATAACGGTTCCCCTTATTTTAAAAAGGTTATTTAAATTTAAAAAGGACACAGCTGTCACTGGGGGACAGGAGACTGAGCTGAGTGGATCTGATCTCTGACAGATCTGTAGGAAGCTGAGCAGGAAGAGTTACTGAGGAACCGAAGTACACACCGAGGACATCCAGCAACTACACGCCAATCTGCTGTAACGCTCCAGTAACCGCCGATCTACAAGTGGCAGTGCAATGGAGTGAGTGAGGAAGCCTGATCTCTGCGGAGACCCGGCACAAGGAACGTCACCGCACATTTTTTTGTTCTGTTTTTTTTAGTCAGACTTTGCTTCCGCTCCTGGTTAAACTTCAGAAATTGTTCCCTGTCTGTTCATATGGAGCACATCGTAGCACATATTTAAAGACTCTTTAGGTTGTGTGGAGTGCTCCTTTTCAAATACACTGCTGTTCTAACATTCTAACAAATTCTGAGAGTTGGATAGATCTAAGCAATACCGTAGACACCTTCCTGTCCATAATGGATCAAATAAACGTATTATTGATGATAATCATTTGTAGATCTGGTTGAAGTGATTCCACTGAGCCTCCTGGCAGTCACTTGTGCTGTTGCTGTTGTCACTGTTAGAAATGGTTTTATCTGCATGCACACAAGGATTCTATCAATTACAGCGGGAACTCTGCTCGTTAAAATTGCTCCAAGAGGTCAGAGTTCAGCATCCTGGCCCGTTTCCCAAGGTGACAGAAGTGAACAGGTTACAAGGCAAGTAAACGTAAGAGCATCTGAAATGTGTTTTACTTTTCCCCCCCCAATAATCTCTTTTTTTCCTCTTTTTCCTATAATTTGGGTTCTAATGTGAAAGATGAAATCTGAGATGGCGATGTATGATATCTCTGGATTTTTGTATTAAAACCAAACGAAAGAAAAAACAATTGACTGTTTTTTTTATCTGTATTTACAGTTTTAATCCACTTTCATGTATTTTGTACATAAATATGTGTCCCCTCTGTGTAGAGGGAAAAGAGAGATTCGCTCACTTTTTGTCCTGATCCATTTATATAAAAACCTGTCTGAAAATGAGCTGATCAGATTTTGGCCACTTTATGAGTGGATCCTTATTTTCATCTAAAGTAACAGACACAGAATCAGCACTCTTGAAACAGAGGGGTTTATGGGATGCTACAAAGCATGATCCGTTTGGTATTTCGAGGCCAAACACTTCAGAGACATGTTTCTATATATCCGAGACCTATAATATATTGATGAAAAACGGTATAATAGGGGACCTTTTTTAATATTTTTTTGCTGCAAATTGTTTAAAAAAAATCACACTACTCATTTTCAAATATTTTTCAATGCAGCCCTATACAATTGCATCCATGTTTTCCTTTGATACTTGACTTGGAAAGACAAAAATATGACTGAGGTAGTTCCACCAGTAGAGGTCAGGGCTGGCTCTGAACAATTTGCAGCCCTATAGGCAAGATTTTAGGTGGTGCTCCCCCAGCCTGAAAATTGTACAGTACAAAATATATATTGTCTATCAATAGCGTATCCAAGGAATATACAATATAAAGAATAACTGAAAACTCAACGGAAACCTATAGACAGATTATATACATAAGAAAAGGGTAAAAATGTATTTATACTATCCATGTGAACATGTTTTCATTTGGGTGTTGACCTCACATCCTCTATGATCCTTGGGAAGACGACCAAGGTACGTTTTAACCATTTGTTTTTTTGTTCTAATTGAAACTAATAATAAAACAATTAGTTTTTCAATCTTGCCCCAAAACGAAAAAACGGAAATTCAGCTCGTCTTTTCGTATTTCTGTTCTTACTGTTAAAACAAGTATAGCCTACCACTATGGGCATAAATATGTCTCCATTTGTGTGAACATAAAAATAATTTGTGTAAATATGTGATTTGTAAATGTAAAACACCATCCACAAATGCATTTAAAAGATTTGCAAACTCGCAAATAAATGTGCAAGTGTAAAACGGATCTGCAAATACGCAAAATATTTTCACAAATACAAAAAAGATCTCTGAATATCTCTAACATTTACAACTTTCGATCAGGCATTTGTGAATCCAATTTTGTATTTGTCGAACAAAAATGCGCTTGCGGATCTCTGCTCGTGGATCTCACATTTCTATTTGTGGATCGTCTTTTTACACACGGAATTTTGAGACATATTTTCCGCCAGTCTCCGCTAAAATCTACTCGTGTCACTCGGTTGTTTTCGGAAACCACGTGATGGCCTGCTGATGACGACATTTCCGCGTGATTTCAAAGTAAGAGCATGATGGCTTGTTTAATGCTCTGTTTTTTTATTATAATGAACAGCGGACGTTAGATGCACTTTTCTTCTCTCATCACACATTCAAGCCCCCAATGTTCATTTCAATCTAAATTTTTCACTTTCTTCTTACACATTACATTTCAGCATAGCAATTCAGCGTCAGCTCTTCAGCATAAAGCATTCCCACTAGCAATCTCTTCAGGAATTGCATTCTCTAGTTATATAACTTGATGCACAAAACATTTTGTAACAAGGGTGTAATTATTTTTTGGAAAATATGCTCAACCGGTCGAATTGGCCTTTTATGGTAAACTAGCAATATGACTTTTTCAGAGTTTCAGAGATGTTTTCCAATAAAATATGGTAAATAAATGGCTAGCTTCAAGGTAATATTACTAAATCTAGTACTGCCTTATGAGTCTCAGAGTGAAAGAGTGATACGAATTTATATAGCACCTTTCATGCATCAAAGCAGCCCAAAGTTGCACACAGGTGAGCAAGTTAGGCCAACACAGGATATAGACATTTGTTAGGCCAGGGGTTTGTTGTCAGGCCAATTCAGCATATACATTAAGATGAGCAAGTTTTTTTTTTATTAATGAAAAACACTTAACATTACTTTTTCCCATTTCTTTTTTTTTATTATTTATTATTTTTTATGAATGTATCTGGTTGTATATATTGCTCATCTTCCATAAAAGAAAAACATGTATTTCAGTTTGTGTTTTATTTGAATTTAATGCATACAAATACTGTAGCCTACTGTATGATGATTGTTGAAAATGCACTTTTACCATAAAAGGCCTGCTCAACCAGTTGGCTCATAAAAACAAAACTGTGGTCAGTAAAACAAATAAAAATGGTTTGTGGTTATTTGTGTCCTATTTGATAAGAAAATGCAAATAAATAATCTGGCTATGTTTGCAATAATATATTCAAAGGTCAGTAGTTATTTAAATAAATCAATATCTAAGGTTAGCAAACAGATACTGCCTTTAGAGAGCCATTGACACCCATGAAGAATTGATCCTCATGTATTTTCAAATTGAAAATAAGGCAATATCAATTCAATTTAAACTATTTTAGTCTTCGAGACTCAACCTTTTTAAATAATTTACTTTCATTTGGAAAAGGTTTTTCTGTACAAATAAATTGAAAAATATAAGTTTAAAAGGACGATGTGGATCTATTTTCTCTCACCTTGTAATTACACAATCAAATAATCTATAATACGGCTTTGGACATTTGTTTTAATGTTTTGCATTTGTACTATTTTGTATTGAATTTGGACAAATATCTTTCGAACAAAAAATATCCTATGATTGCATATGGTGTGAATATGTATACCCTGCTCACTCAGTATTATTTTAGGTACAGTTTATATTTTAAATGTAATGAAAAAGCCAACTCAATAGTGTGTTAAAAATAGACTTTAGGATATTGTAAAACAAATAACTGCTATATAATGTATTCTTAACCCTCCTTTATCTTCACATTTACTTTACACCCTTTATCCTAGGTGTTTAAAGCTCAAGAAAAAGATCATATCCAAAATTGTTACCAAAATGTATGTTTCAAATACTTTATGTTTCTTTGTTGACTATCTAAATATCCATTTAAATAAAAACACCACCCTTCACCCACAGCATTTACATCCATAATTCCTATTATGTGACCATTGTAAAATATATTATTCACCATAAAATCTCACTGATTGACGTAACATTTTAAAGGATGATCTTTTTGCTGTTGTTAAAGGATCTATATTATTTCAAAGTACAATTTTGGCATTTAAGAAATGTACAGTATATTATCAAGGATAGTAACATGTATTAAGTTTGGGGTCAATATGAAAATATTTCCCTTCCGGTGTCAGCATTCCAAAGACATGCTGTTCCCTCCCTTTTTTTATTTCTACACTCCTGCCAAAACGAACAACCCAATGTGGGCTTGTAAGTGGTTCCCACCCAACTCCTAACTGTCCCCATGCATGCACCTCACCTTTAAATTCATAATCTCAAGTATATTGTTTAATCAATCCTCTATTGATGGTGTTATGAAGAGCTCAATGCTGACTTCAGGTCTTAGACATGGCTGACAGCGTATCTTGTGGGGTCTCGAGCAATTTTCATTACATTAGCAGCACTAAACTTACCCTGTTTTTCACGTGGGGATTGGGACCAAGATAACTTTCCATTTTTGGAAAGTAATGTGTCTGCTTGTGTTTGAGAGACAACAGGAGCATCTGAACTGGGGTATTCACGGTGGACAATTTGACAGAGGATTTCTCTGAAAGTACACAATAAGTGTATTTTATAGTCTTTGCTAGTAGTCTAACTACTGAGTCCAACATGCTCAGTCTTCTTAAGAACTTAAAAGTATTTGTATTGCTCATCACATACAGCAGAAAGACAGGCATTGTTGTACTATGGAGGGGACTTTGGCAGGAGAGTACTCAAGAAGTACACAGTAAAAGTATTTCATATTTGGGATAGTTGTAACTACAACTGATTCCAACTTCATCAGTCTTATGAAAAACGTATGGCCAAAAATAATGTTATCGCTCATCAAAGATAGCAGAAGCTTGTCATTTTTGCACTGTGTAAAGGCAAAGAGTTAGAACCTTTATTTTGTAAACTAGCCAATCAGAAGCAATGAGGCACTGGAGACCCACCCACCTATGGAAACGAAACATTGGGTGTTTCTCAATGTCGAGGACGCTTCCTTGGTAGGACGTCTTTCGAGTCAGGTCCTTCAGAAGCGAGACAAGAATCCTTCCGAGTCTCGGAAAACGAAGAATGGTCGGAACAGGCTAACAGGTGTGCAGGTGTGCAGGTATGCACACCTGTAAGATAGGCGCCGCCTTACATTTTCCGTGAAAGATTTGGGAGAAGACCGCGGAGGATACACATCTGTTGGTCATACAAAGGGGTTTATGGGATGCTACAATGCACAATCTGTTTGGTATTTTGAGTCAGAGACATGTTTCGTATATGTCTGATATTGATGAAAAACAGTATAATAGGGGAACTTTAAAGTACCAAAAGTTAAAGTAGCCTACTTATTGTGCAGATTGGTCCATTTCAGAATAATATACATCATATGTTTTTATTATTGAGGCATTAATGTGTTTATCAAAGCTGGTAAAGGTGCAGCTGTATTTACTTTGGATGCTGCATGCAGGGTAGCTTGTGAATTTACTCCAGGTGTCTGATTTAAGTGTTGATTATATTTTACATCATTAATCTAATTTTGCAAAGTAACTTAAGTCCCTCACAATTGTTCTTAAGCACACTACTTGAGTAAATGTACTTAGTTACTTCTTTAAATGTCACTTGTTAGACGCTTTTATCCAAAGCGACTTACACACTCAATACTGTGGACAATCCCCACAGGAGCAATTTGGGGTGAAGTGTCTTGCCCAGGGACACAACGACATGCTTCGGACAACCGCCACACGCCTCCCTACTTCACTCAGCATACCAGTTTAGCTGGTATGCTGATTGCTGAGTGAAGTAAAGTACATTTACTCAAGTAGTAATCAGGTGACGAGGAGCCTCTGGAGCCTCATTTGACAGCATGGTGGTGGTGTCAGTCTGAGGGAGGGAGTTCATCAGGTGACGAGCAGGCACCAGGCTTTAGCAGCTAGATCTCCTCTCATTCACTGCTCAGCTCCGCGAACACTGTGCAACTAGCTCCCCGGCGGAAGGATACACTAAACTACCTGAAGAAAGTGTTTGAACCCCTGAGGCTCTACTTTATTTTTTGTTTTAGACCCTGTGAGGCTGCAGATTTATAAAACCTTGTTGGGTGTTTTTGAGTGAATCTCCCTCGGCAAAATGGAGTCATCTCTGGAGTTCTCCAGCTCTCTGGGCAGTGTGTCCTCGCTGCTGACCCGCTGTCGGACCTTTAAGGTGCTTGTGATAGGAGACTCCGGGGTGGGGAAGACCTGCCTCACACACCGACTCTGCGCCGGAGACTTCCCCAGCAGAGTGGAGGCCACCATCGGCGTGGACTTCCGCGAGAGGCTTCTGGATATCAACGGAGAGAGAATTAAGGTAGCCGGGGAAGTCATAATATTTAAAAAAAGACCTGTGGACCGTACAACAGACTAACAGTGCACAAGAATGCAGAAACACAATGGTACGCCGTTCTTTTGTTTTGACACGAAAATAAACAGATTAGTTATCAACGTTGTTGGCTCTTAAGTTGGGAACAAAGTGCAAAAGGCACCACCACCTCTCGTACTTGGGAGTAAGACACAGACATTTGCATCTTTTTGTAGGACATATTATGTTCCTTTGTAGTCATTTTAGGTCTGTTCCTGGTAGGTGCGTGTCTATTTTAGTGATATTTTGTAAATAAAGGACAGGGGGGCCCTCACACGTTGGGCCCCATGACCTGTGCTCCATAGCACATTCAGTATTCCATTCATTACTAGATCACAACAAATGCAGTGCTCTTCATGGGCCCAATTCAGCTTAGGAGTTGGACTAGACAAATAAAACAAAACAACTCTGCAAGTAATAGAGGATGTAATATTCCTGCAGGTTATTTGAGACTGCCTCAGACTTTTAACTGTGACTTTATCATGTTTTCTACTGCTTTTTTTATTTACTTTTAACACTCCTAGGTTCTTTAGTAATGCACTTTTCTGCAGTGTGGCTCCGCTGAGTTATTTGTCCCACATTGAACAGCAGAGAATCCTCTGGATGAAAGGAAATGAGCAGAGCGGCTGGTTTGCAGAACTAACGCAGCATCTAAATCACTGTGAAGATCACATACTTGATTCTTGTGGCATGTGAGCTTTTACATCAACGAGCTTCATTTGAGCCCCTCGTGTAAACACATTAGTGACTCTGTTTATGTGATGATATTCAATGTGTGGGTGTTGATCTACTTCCTGACCACATGATGGAGGAAGTGTCAGTAAGCGGTGACTGAGGATGTGTTTATAACTTTAGGTTTCACACTTTGTTCCAAATGCATTGTATTGATAATGGAATGGGACAATCATATGCTCCTTTTCAGAGTGAGCTTGTAGTTAAAGAAACATATTCTAAAATGTAAGTGGATGTTGATTTTTTTCTCTTCTGCAAAGTCACTTTTTTGGCTGTTAATTCGACCCTGAGGCGAGTTAATGAAAGGTGTCTCCATTCAGATCAAGTGTCAAGTCATCTTTCATGGCACTCAAGTCAATACAAAAGTCATCTTAAACCAATTCAAAGTCAGTTGCAAATTGAAGTCCTTTCACAGCATAGACCTAGTGATCCAATATGTTTTGTTATTTTATTTTGTTATTCTGTATGTTCATTTATCATGTTGCCTCTGTTGCATTTTTTTTTTTTTAGCTGGAATGACACATCGTTGAAATGGAATCTAGCACTTAATTTATCATATTCAAGTAGAGTATGACAAAGAGAAAACAAATCTGATTTTTGGGGGAAAATGTCAGATCATGTCAGGACTTCCTTATAGACAAGATTGCAGAAACAAAACAAACAAACAGATATTTATTTCCCGTTTATTGTGCCTAACTTCAGATGATAATAAAATATCTGGTACAGAATTACTCTACAGATGGTCCAGGTCAAAATTAGGAGAACCTCTTCTTTTGAGGTCGGTTTTTGAGACATGACAAAGGCCAACATGTGGCCTGCATCAGACTCAGAGGTGTTTGAGGCTAGCTCATTGTCAGAAGAGCCTAATGCTACTAAAGCAGTTGTTGCTCCTACCGGACGGTTAAGAGAAAACAGAAGTTGCTGCTAAAAACAATCAATACAAATTTCACAAAAGTGTTAATCGTTGAAGCCAGCTGAGGTCCTTGAACATAAAGACATAGATGAGTGCAAACTATTTTAGGTTTATTTGTCAATTGCAAGACAGAAATAATCTCACAGGACATAACAAAACAAGAGGTCAGACTTTCTAAAGATTAGATCAACTGACTAACTTATTTTGATTTGTGTCCTCTCAGTGATGAATCACTGCATGTGTCTCGGTCTGGTTTGGGGTGTCTCAACACATGGCTCATTTCCCTCTCCGTGCCTTCCCTCTCATTCATTTCCTCTTTTGCACATGTTCCCCTCTACCAACTCCGCCTAATGTGAATTAATTGACTAAATGTCATTTTCTCCCTTTATCCTTTTTATCTCCCCACCAGCTCCAGCTGTGGGACACGGCAGGGCAGGAGCGTTTCCGTAAGTCCATGGTGCACCACTACTACCGTAACGTGCACGCTGTGCTCTTCGTGTACGACGTCACCCGTCCTAACAGCTTCAGCGGCCTGACTGCGTGGATCGAGGAGTGCAGGCAGAACTCCCTCGGGCAGGATATCCCCAGGTAATGCACTATACTCATATACAACTTTTCTAGTCCTCCATCCTACAACCATATTTCCTTTTTTGTGAACTTTTTCCCCCCAAATCAAATAACACATGCTTTTTTTTCTTTAGATAATTTTGGTGTTAATTGCAAAGTATTGGAGATCTTATCCGTAGAGATGTCTGCCTTCTCTCCAATGTATTGGACCTAGATGGCACTGGGATTGTGGTTCTCAAAGCCCCAAAAACCACATTTAAAAAAACTCAACAACAAAGTATTTTTTAAAGGAATCCTGACTCGCTTAATCGATACAATCAACAGATTGTTTTGAGGAGTTTTATGTAGGAACTATTTTCTTTTTACCAAACTACACCTGCCAGCCGTTTTCCCCGCGAATAATTATCGTTGTAACTAGCTAGCTAATGGTACAAGTTGCAGGTTAGCTAGCTCAGGAGAACCTCTTGTCCAAAGATGTCCGGTTCCTCCTGCATAGTTTTAATTCAGTTGAGAAAGAAAACTTCCTGGGGGAAACCGCTCAAAACCGTTCTTTCTACCAAACTACAGCCACCAACTTTATCATCATGCAGAAGAAGCATCAGCTCACGGCCTTAAGAGGCCTATGCTCACTCGTTAGTGCGTGTAGTTTGGTAAAAAGAAAATAGTTCCTAAGTGACACTCCTCAAAACAGTGTATCTTTTGTAACAGAGTCATGATATCTGGAAATGGGTTGACCGTTGAGATGTTGAACTTCTCTCCAATATAATGGATCTAGATCAGTGGCCAAAAGTGGGTCGCAGACCCGTTTCGAGTGGGTCGCAGATGTGTAAGTGAGGAAATAAAAAAATAAAAATAAAACTTTTATTTTGAAGGCCCGATTTTCTAACGTTGGACTGGAAGTACTGGAGACCATAAACGGTTTTGAAAACTTCTGTCACGTAGTGATCATCTTCTCAATAAAATATCTTTGCTGATGTTTTTTTCGAGTCTTCTGGCCAATCAGAATCAATATGGTTGCCGTAGCGGTAGAACTATTCTTTATACATCCATGGGTACAACTTCAGATAAAATTGAACACACAAGGAAATATGACCCCCGGTTTGATGATTGACAGGTCACAGAACAATGGGAGCTATCTACCCTTACCCACAATTTAAAGTAATTCACACTGACTCTCTCCTCTTTGCTCTTCTCTCTGTGTGGAGCAGCAAGCTGTCAGAACTAAGTGAAAACAAACCATGGCATAAAATGTTATTAAAATGTGGGTAGTAATACATTTATTTATTTTCTTCTCAGAGTGTACCAGAATGCGTAGTTTATTTGTTAGTATTTCTAAAAATAGTTCTGTGAAGGGATATAAGGCATATATGCAGTGTACTTCACTTTAATGAATATTGTATGCTGAAAAGCGTATATGGGGCATTCTACCGAATTAGTAAAAAAGTGCGGTCCCACAACAAGAAAAACTATTTAACAAAACAAATAACTATTCAGACATAGATATTTACTAAGAATATGTTATGGTCTATTTAAACACAAGGCATTAAATTAGATAGTGATAAGCTTAATATATACAAAAACATCATTTATACAGGTAGGGTACTTT